TATGAGAAAGAAATTTATTGCATGCTTGTTAAAACTTATGATAAAGAAAATAGGCATCAATTTTGGAATGTTTTGCAGGACTCTGGAACTGAACGATGGTTGCTCTAACCGGAACGGTAATTTATAATGGAAATAAAGCATTTGCTTCATTTATTATTTATTTATCCCTGACATTTCTATGTCGTTCCACTCTAAATATGCACTGAGCGTGCATGAGAGAGAGAAAGAGAGAGAGAGAAAACTCACTACGGATTTCAACACCAAAGAGAAGCATCACACAAATAGGTGAGACATCCTAGTTTGTTTCATAGATTTACGGATAGATGAATATGGTGACATTAGAGATATGCTGATTGGGGACATTAACACGCATGTACATTTGCACGTAGACAATGCTGTGTTGTTGGCGGAGAACACAAATGATTTGCAGCAAATGGGAGATTGCAACAAGGAGTACTCCTTATTTGTACTGGGTTGAAAATGCATCTTTGTTGGCCCGCCCTGCAGATACACTGTCAAATTTCAGCCAGGTACTCTGGGGGCTATAGCATAGCTAACAACAACAAAAGCCCAGTGTGTTTCTATGCAGGTGGAATCAACATCGCAAAAAAGACCTAATATTTATTTTTTATGCCCTAGGATACCTGGAACAAGGAGCTTTGTACTTTAGATCCAGTGGTCGGCTTTTGTACATTTCCTGATTTATTTATTTTTCCTAGTATGTATTTCCTAGTTAAAAGGCAGCACAACAAAAGCATATTCTGACTTTACCTTCACATTCCATAGGGAAGTTTGAATTACGGGCAGTCCTTGGAATTAAGAATGTGTAATTTACAGTGTAATTTACAGACAATTCGAACTTACAAATGGGCTGCCAACTACTAAAGATGGCAGATGGTATTCTCCTTCCTCAAACCAATGGACCACTGAAGAATATTTTCATGAACCTCTGAACCTGCACATTTTAAATACAGGTAGCCCTTGATTTATGACTACAGTGGAGCCCAAAGGTTCTATGCTAAGCGAGACATTTGTTAAGTGAGTTTTGCCCTTTTTTACGACTATTTAGGGGACGCGGTGGCTCAGTTACTAAGACACTGAGTTTGTCGATCAGAAAGGTCGGCAATTCGGCGGTTCAAATCCCTAGCGCCACGTAATGGAGTGAACTCCCATTACTTGCCCCAGGTTCTGCCAACCTAGCAGTTCAAAAGCATGTAAACATGCAAGTAGAAAACTAGGGACCATCTTTGGTGGGAAGGTAACAGCGTTCCGTGTGCCTTTGGTGTTTAGTCGTGCTGGCCACATGACCACAGAATCATCATCTGACAGTGCTGGCTCTTCGGCTTACAAATGGAGATGAGTACTGCCCCCTAGAGTCGGGAATGACTAGCACGTATGTGTGAGGGGAATCTTTACCTTTATGACTATTTTTGCCACGGATGTTAAGTGAATCAGTGTAGTTCTTACGTTAGGAACATGATTGTTAGGTGAATCTGGCTTCCCCGTTGACTTTGCTTGTCAGAAGGTCACAAAAGGGGATCAGGTGACCTTGGGACACTGCAACCGTCGTAACTATGGGTCACTTGCCAAGTAGTTCAGGTTCGCCTGATTTGCCAGTTGCGTCCCTTTCTGGATCGGGACTCATTACGCACGGTCACTCACGCCCTTGTCACCTCACGCCTGGACTATTGCAATGCTCTCTACATGGGGCTCCCCTTGAGGAGCACCCGGAGGCTCCAACTGGTCCAGAATGGTGACGGGAACGACGTGGCGCTCCCATGTGCCCCCCTCCTGCGCGAGCTGCACTGGCTCCCAGTGGTCATCCGGGTGCGCTTCAAGGTTTTGGTTACCACCTTTAGAGCGCTCCATGGCTCAGGACCAGGGTACTTACGAGACCGCCTTCGGCCACCAGTAGCCTCTCACCGACCAGTTCGCTCCCATAGAGAGGGGCTCCTCAGGGTGCCATCGGCCAAACAATGTCGACTGGCAGCCCCCAGGGGGAGAGCCTTCTCTGTGGGAGCACCTGCCATCTGGAACGAGCTCTCCCCGGAGATACGGAGGATTCAAGACCTACGCATCTTCCGCCGCGCCCTAAAAACATTTTTATTCCAATAGGCTGGTCTGGCCTAACTCTCCCTTTTAAATTGGGTTTTAAATGTTTTACATAAATTGGATGTCTTAAATTTGTTTTTTGAGCCCAAATTATTTAATTTATTTTTAATAGTTTTTAACTTTTGTATGTCCTTTGTATTTTTATCTTGGCTGTTCACCACCCTGAGTCCTCCGGGAGTAGGGCGGTATACAAATATGATAAAATAAATAAATAAATAAATAAGTGTCTGAAGTTTGATTACATGACCGTGGGGATGCTGCAATGGTAGTAAGTGTGAAAAAGGGTCATGAGCAGTGGTGAAATGTAAAATTTGTTACTATTGGTTCTGTGGGCATGGCTTGGTGGGGTGGGGTGGGGTAATGTGACTGGGTAATTATGGCCAACTTTTTTTTTTTACTTTTAAAAGCATTTTTTTGGCTGAAGAGGTTGTAAAAAAATATTTTTAAAAGCCTCTGACAATCAGGCAACTCAGCTGGGATCGTCAGAGGCGTCTAAAAGCATTTTTTCCTACAACTTCTTCAGCCGAAGAGGTGGCAGAAAAAAATGCTTTGAAAAGCCTCTGACGATCCCAGCTGAGCTGCGCGATCATCAGAGGCTTTTAAAAAAAAACTTTTAAAAGCATTTTTTCAGCCGAAGAGGTTGTAGAAAAAATGCTTTTAAAAGTAAAAAAAAAAAAAAGCCTCTGATGATCGCGTGGCTCAGCTGGAAATTGGTGGGGGGGAGGGCGCAGGGATTTTTACTACTGGTTCTCCGAACCACCGCCACCATCGCTACCGGATCGGGTGATCCAGTCCGAACCAGGAGCATTTCACCTCTGGTCATAAGTCACTTTTTTCAGTGCCATTGTAACTTTGAACAGTCATTAAATATGACTGTTGTATGTCGGGGACTACCTGTATATATATATAGTTGGTTTTCAGTGGTTCATGAAAACATTGAGCTGCTGAAAGAAGGAGAATGCCATCTGCTATTTTTAGCAATAGGCAGTCCGTTCATGAGTTCCGACTTACATAAAATTCATCTTAAAGGCATATTTAGGGACAGATCTTGTTCTTAACCTGGGGACTGTCTGTGATTGATGGAGGAGCTGGAAGTGAGCAGAGAAAAATTAGAATAAATTTTCCCAACCTGATGACACTGTGAATTATAACTCCCAGAAATTCCAGCTATCATAGGAGATGAATGGAGTTTGGATCTCCTATTTCATATAACGTTAAATAACATAATAATAGAGAAGCGCGTACTTCCCAAAATATATCATATAATATTTTAGGGCAATGTGGAACTTTCTGATACAGAAGCATGGTCTGGGGGGTATCATTGGCTTTCCACGTCTCTCAGAATTAGTCTTCATTCTTTTCCCTCCGATACAGGTAGACCTTGACTTACAACAGTTCATTTAATGACCATTCGCAGTTACAATGGCACTGAAAAAGGGGACTTATGACCTTTTTTTTTGGACACTAGCAACCATTGCAGTTATCCCTATGGTCACATGATCAAAATTCAGACTGGGTCATATTTATGACGATTGTAGTGTCCTTGGCATCGTGGGATCAACGTTTGACAAACAAAGTCAGTGGGGATGCCAGATTCACTTAACAACCCCTTTGACTAACTTAACAACTGCAGAGAGTCACTTAATGTCAGAGTATATTCATAGACTGGAATAGGCAACAAGGTCAGTCAATGAGTAGACATGTCAACTCTATTGGGTCAGTCAATGAGCGCTGTTTGGAAACTGAAACAGTTTGGAGCCTGGATGTGGCTAAACTAGTCTGCTGCTGGAACTGAAGCTGTTCTCCTCTCTGCCTGTGTTTTGCCTGTAACTACTACCGTGTTTTCCCGAAAATAAGACCCTGTCTTATATTTTTTTGAACCCTGAAATAAGCGCTTGGCCTTATTGCCATGCGTTCAAAAGCCCGATTGGGCTTATTATTAGGGGATGTCTTATTTTGGGGAAAACAAGGTACCACATTGGAAAAATCTGCTTTTGGTATTGTATATGTATTTCATGTGTTATTATGCATATAAAGCAGTGGTGAAATCTAAAATTTGTTACTATTGGTTCTGTGGGCGTGGCCAATTTTTTTTTTTTTACTTTTAAAACCATTATTTCTACAACCTCTTCAGCGAAGAGGATGTAAAAAAATGCTTTCAAAAGGCTCTGACGATCCCAGCTGATTTGCCTGATCATCAGAGGGTTGAAGAAAAAGTTTTTTTCTTTTAAATGGCTCTGACGATCCAAGCTGAGTTGCCTGATCGGCAGAGGCTTTTTAAAAAAACATTGTATAGATACAGAATACACAGTCATTGTAGTCTGCCTCTGATGATTGTGCGGCTCAGCTGGGCATGGGGGGGGGGCAGGGATTTTTGCTACCGGTTCTCCAAACCACCCGCCTCCATTGCTACTGGATTGGGTGATCTGGTCCGAACTGGGAGCATTTCATTCCTGATATAAAGAGAAGTTAATGAATTCCTGCTGAATCAGTTACCTGTGTGTGCTTTCTGGATTTCATTTCTGCAACGAATTCTAACACTTAACAACTCTGGCAAGAAAGGTTGTAAAATGGGACAAAACAAATGTCTCACTTAGCAACAGAAATTTTGGGCTCAATTGCCGTCATAAATGGAGGACTATCTCTAATTACTATAGAAATTCTCATCTGTTCGTGATGGCACACAAAGTGATTGGGAAAAGAAAAAGCAATAGGGATAGAATTCTCTCTCCTATCATTCCTGGTTACCAGTAATGCCATTATTATAAATGACCAGTTATTTTGTGATAGTACTTTCACCATCTTGGGTAAAAAAAATGTAGTTAGCACATCAAAAGTGCTGCACAAGGAGCCCAGCGCTTGCCTAACGCAATGTGGACGCCACGTACCTTCTCTCATCATGCCTGTATGATGTGGAGCTCCGGCCACTGGTCCAAATGAACATCTTAGAGGATTGGTCTCCACTGCCTCTCCTTACCGTTGAGGTCCTGGAGGAAAGATGGCAGGACCTAGGAGAAAATGGAGAATCTTCATTACCGTATGCTGAAAACCTGCTGGGCCTCATCACATCTAACAGATCCAAGTGCCAAATTTGATTGCCCTGCAGGCTCTGCTCCATAGAGAGTGTCTTTTAGATGATTCCAGATGATATGCAAAACAAGACGATGACCTTTCTCTTCCCTTCCAGGAGGTTCGGTTGACATTAAATTATTTCCTGCTCATTTTTCTTAATTTCTTTTTTCTCCTGTTTCCCTCTCCCTTTCTGTCAGAGCTAAGAAAATCTCACTGTGCTGCCTTCTAAAATGTGTGGGTTCTTTCTTCGAAGCAAGTTCACTCATGTTTGACTTAAGTTTCCTATCCATCTCTAGTCCATCTATGCAGGCCTCCTCTCTCCCCCTGATGGTTTTTGATATGAACTTTTCTTCGGTCCTTTCCTTTAAGCATCCATTGAGATATCCAACAAGGAGGACGGCTTGAAGCTGTATGAACTCATCTCTAACCAAACTGGCAGTTAAATGAAAATGGAGGTTAAAGTCCACCATCCAGGTGGATTTCCCACAGCTGTTTCTGCAGCTGTTTCTGTGTGAGGGTGTGCACATGCGTGCGTGCGTGTGACTGAGTGTGACATGGATCCCTTGGCAACATGATCTGTGACACCATGACTACCAAAGAGATTTGTTGACATTAGGTATACGCTTCTTTTTTTCCCCTTTTCACAGTTATTCCCCAACTTAGTCTTCTTTACTTTTACTTTTATTTGATTTATATACCGCCCTACTCCCGAAGGACTCAGGGCGGTGAACAGCCAACAATAAAATATATACATACAAAATTTAAAAAGCAGAAATAAAATTGAATTAAATAGTTTGGCCCAGACAGATTAAAAAACCCAATCAATTTAAAACAAATTAAACTTTGAATGTTAAAAATATTAAAAAATATTTAAAATTTATTTAAAAAGAGGGAGAAAGTTAGGCCAGGCCCGCCTGGTGGAATAAAAAGGTCTTAAGAGTGCGGCGGAAGGTGCGCAGATCCGGGATCATCTGTATCTCCGGATAAATCTAAAAGAAGATCTTAAATCTTCTTCTAGATTTAACAGAATAACCGAATAACAGAGTTGGAAGGGACCTTGTAGGTCATCTAGTCCAACCCCCCCCCAAGCAGGAGACCCTACACCAGGGGTTGGCAACCTTAAACCTTCAAAGTGCTACAAAGGTCCTAATCGGAAGCCCTCCATTCAATTCTGGAGCCGACCGGAAGTCCAGTTCCCCTGCCATAGAGTTTCCTCCTAGTGCGGTGTCCTTTTTCCTCTACCTGTCCTAACCAAAAGTCCTATCAATTGTGGAGCTGACCGGAAAACCCGCCCCTTGCCATAGAGTTTCCTCCTGGCACGCCATGCTTAGGGGGAAGCATGAACCAGAAGCTCCTCTCAAAATTGTGGCACCAACCAGCGACAGAGAGCCGCATCAGAGAGATGAAAGAGCCACATGCGGCTCCAGAGCCACAGGTTGCTGACCCCTGCCCTACCCCATTTCTGACAAATGGCAGTCCAATCTCTTCTTGAAAGCTTTCAATAATGAAGCTCCCACAACTTCCGAAGACAAGCTGTTCTGTTGGTTGATTGTGCTCACTGTTAGAAAATTTCTCCTTATTTCTAGGTTGAATCTCTCATCGATCAGTTTCCATCCATTATTCTTTGTCTGGCCTTCAGGTACTATCATTCTCAGGCAACTGCTTTTCCCTACCTCCTCCTCCTCCTCCTCCTGGAAAGCAACATTCAAGCGGAAGAAAAATTTGTAACGAAACTGGGAATGCATGTTACTTCTTCTCTCACTTATAATCGTTGTCCTTCACACTATTTGGACCACCTTTCCCAAAATGATTTTTGTATCAACTGTTTTGTTGCAGTTTATCAGTGGCAGGCAATTTATGGCAATTGCTCTCAGAACAGCAAGTTGTATTAAAAAGTGTCAGGCCCCATGCAGCTGAGCAGCTCAAGACCAAGGAAGCAAGAACTACAAAGCTTTTGGTAAGATACTTTCATGATACCCTTAAGATATTTTTACCCTTTATGGCCTGGGTCCAGGTTATCTGATGTACTGTCTCACTCCAATGGGATTGGCTTGCCTGACTTGCTCTGGCAGAATGGGTATCCTCTGGATCTCATCGGCTAAGGAATTGCAGCTGGCAATTCAATGGTCTAGATCCGTGATGGCAGATCAATGGCTACTTCTGCTGACTGCCGGTTGCCTGGCAGTTTAAATCTCACCAGGCTCAAGCTTCTATCCTTCCGAGGTGGGTAAAATGAGGACCCAAATTGTTGGGGCAATATGCTGACTGTGTAAACTGCTTAGAGAAGGCTGTAAAGCATTGTGAAGCAGTATATAAGTCTAATTGTCTTTAGTCTGTTATTTATGATATTGTAAGCCACTCAGAGTAGATAGAAAGATGGACAGCATACAAACTTAATAAGTAAGTAAGTAAGTAAGTAAGTAAGTAAGTAAGTAAGTAAGTAAGTACCTTTAATGCTCATCTGCAATAACTGCAGAATCTTGGAAACTGTATTAAGAATTTTCCAATTCCTTCATTTATTAAAGTATTCTTAAAGATGCTTTTTCTCAAATTTCTATCTATCTGGGCTGTATGTATTTATTTGAATGGCATGTTGGCCTAGTTGAGAAGACTCTCACCTCCCACTTGGAAGGTTGAAAGTTCAATCATCCTAGGTAATGACAGATTAACAATTAATCAGTGGGATAACTTGCCTCTAGAAGCTATAAATGCTCCAACACTGGAAGTTTTTAAGAAGAGATTGGACAACCATTTTTCTGACATTGTGTAGGGTTTCCTGCCTAAGCAGGGGGTTGGACTAGAAGACCTCCAAGGTCCCTTCCAACTCTGTTTTTCTATTCTATTCTTTCACTCAATTCCTTAGGACTGTGATGGGGAACCTATGGCACGCGTGCCACAGGCGGCACTTGGAGCCATATTGGTGGGCACGCAAGCATTGCCCTAGCTCAGTTCCGGCACACATGCGCACGCTGGCCAGCTGATTTTCGGGCCTTTGGGGCCCACTGGAAGTCAGGAAACAGGCCATTTTTGGCCTCCAGAGGGCCCCCTGGAGGGTGGGGAAGGCCGTTTTTTCCCTCCCCAGGCTTCTAGAAAGCCTCTGGATCCTGGGGAGGGCGAAAAACGGGCCTACTCGGCCCACCATGCCATTGTGTGCCAAAAGCGGGGGAGTGCAGGGAGGTCGGGCGCACATGCGTGGGGGGTGGGGCGCATTGAATTATGGGTGTGGGCACGCAGACACGTTTCCCCCCCCCCCCGGGCTACCCCCGCTTTTGGCACACGATGGCAAAAAGGTTAGCCATCACTGCCTTAGGATGACATTCTCTCCCTTTCCTTGCCCCCCTCCCTGCAATCTCTCACAAAAAAGGTCATCCTTTAAAGTTCAGTGCAGTTTTTGGTACCCTTTCATCTACTTAATTTTAAGCTAAAAATATCTGAGAGTTATAGGAGGAGGGTCAGCTCTGCCATGCGGCTGGGTGCAGCAATCTGTATTAAGCATTTGCCTGAGAGGGTGAGAAATGAATGCAAGAATTTATGCCTGAGATGCAAACCTTCTTAAATGAGTGGAGCGAGAGAGGACAGGCCGGTGGAACAGATGCCTTGAGCTTAACTGCGGCTGGCCTTGGGCCGAATTTCAAAAGTCTGCTGCTATAGATAAGTTCAAAAAGAAATGTCTTTTCTCCTAGTAGAATACTGAGAATAGGTGTCAGCTGTCACGTTACTCTTTCTTGTGCTTTGCTACCAGGCTGTGACAGACTGCCATGAACTCTGGGGAGAGGGAATGGGAGGGAGGGATGCTTTGGGGGAAACCAAAAGTAACTGCTGTATCTCCCTGAGATGCAGCCTCAAGATCACTTGGCTGGGAGAAGAAAGTAGTTGCATACCAACTTAAGCTTGAACTGACTGTTCTGAAAACATCTTGCTTGAATCTGATTGGTCATGGGGTGGTGGTGGTGTCAGTGATGGGAGTCAGTTAAAGGAGGGAAAAGTTGAATTTAGAGATTTTGTTGTGCAATTCTCAGCTCTGGCTCTGCATTATCGCAATACACTTGACTTCTAATAAAAATATACCTTTCTCAATTAAATGGAGCCAAAGATCATTTCTAATTAGGGGTTTAAGCTGTGGCAGAGTCTACAATAGGTAAGCAAAGATACGTATGAGGGGGACGTGGTAGCTCAGTGGCTAAAACGCTGAGCTTGTTGATTGAAAGGTTTAATTAATTAATTTAATTAATTAAATTTATATGCCGCCCCTCTCCGAAGACTCAGGGCGGCAGTTCAGTGGTTCGAATCCCTAGTGCTGCGTAATGGGGTGAGCTCCCGTTACTTGTCCCAGCTTCTGCCAACCTAGCAGTTCGAAAGCACGTAAAAAGTGCAAGTAGAAAAATAGGGGCCATCTTTGGTGGGAAGGTAACAGAGTTCTGTGCACCTTTGGCGTTGAGTCATGCCGGCCACATGACCACGGAGACATTTTTGGACAGCGCTGGCTCTTCGGCTTTGAAACGGAGATGAGCACCGCCTCCTAGAGTCGGGAACGACTAGCACATATGTGCGAGGGGAACCTTTACCTTTACCTAGATACGTATGAAGGATAAGAGGTGTTAGGATATGGTGTAAGTCTAACGTTGTCCAGGCTATATATGTGTTCTATCACTTTAAATGTATTCTGTAACTTTAAATGTAATGCTGAGTAATTGTACTGCTGAGTCATTGTAATGACTAATGACTGCTGACTGAATGGTGACTGCAATTATCATAATTGAGTCATTGCACTCCTGACTTCACTTATCTTAAGTGGATAATTACTAGTGTAAACTGTATATAAGAAGGAAGCTGAGCTATAGTCATTGTTGGACCTGCTCTCATCATTGCTTGACTTGTTGCTTGACTTGCTGGTTGGAACTGTTACTGTCGTGTGTGAAGACGTGGATGGATCTGC